AACAGTCATTTGCACTGTTTTCGATTCGTCTTTGCATGGGCAAAAATAATATGCAGGGCTTTTTTTCAAATTGTCTTTCGTTGAGAGAAAATTCATTTTTTTGGAAATCAGAGAGGAAAAAGTCAGAATTCTGCTGGTAATTCTCAATTTTCTCCATCAGAACTCAGCTTTTGTGCAATAAAAATATCATATTCGGAATCAGGATCAAAAACTGAGTCGACTAATGTGTACTTATATCTTACTTTGATTTTTGTCGAATTTTCACATTGAAAAAGTATCGAGATTTTCACCAAAAAATGAAAATCAGGTAAAGTTTTCGAAATACACATTAATCGACTCAGTTTTCGACTCGGGTTTTCGACTCGGGTTTGCTATTAAAAAGAGCAAAAACTAAAAACTTAGAAATATTTTTCACTTTTGTGAAACTTAAGGGCAGAAAACGGAAGCCTCTTTTTCTAAACAGATTATGCTTAACGTTAAAAGTTCAATATATATAGAGGTCTTTTACTCTATGTATGTATGTATGTGTAATTATGGCTCAAGAATAGGTAAGCACCGAGACTCTTCATTCATGGATTCATCATACCATAAGTTAGAAAAGTATGCATCGCTTTTTCTTTTCTCTATTGAAAAGAACCATTTTCTCTAAATCCGAGGCGGAAAAGTCGAAATGTTTGGCTCGAAATCTCGATCATTTTTCAACGTAAGAATTCGAAAAAAACATACTAGTCAGACAGGTAGTATACGAAGTTGGATATTTGAAGAAAATAAAATATCTTGCTATACAGTCTAGAACATTCGGAAATATGTCAGTTGAACGTGCAACCAAGAAACCATAAGAATGAGTGATGTGCAAACTAACTGGTTCATATTTTATTATACTTTATTGAGCGTCTCCAGAAGTGTCTCCTGATAGAATGTCATGACAAAAGAAAACTCTTTTTAGTAAATTTAGGCAAAATAATTCTTTAACAGCTTGGAATATAAAATCTTTGAATTCGGGTATTGCCTGTATCGACTACGTATAAATATTGCTCAGTTGAATCCAAAGCTAAACCTACTGGACCACTTAATTGGTGAGGGCCAGAACCTGCTGTTCCATTCCCAGCGAATATCGTAGCACTGTCAGTACCAATGGTAAACTTTTTAACACAATTGGCCCCTATAAAAACAAAAAAAAGTTGAAGTATGATTAGATTAAAAGTTTAGTACATTGTTTACTATATTTTTAGCTTACCTTGATCAGATACAAACAGTGTTTGTTCGTCTGCAGTAACTACAATACCAAATATACTGTTCAGAGTATTAGAAGCCACAACTACACCACCGGTAGTGGGATCTGCACCCGATGACCATCGTACCACATGTTTATTACCACTATCAGCTACATAGAGATTTCCTGAACCACTAACAAGATAGACATCAGATGGGGATGAAAGTGTTGGTGCGGTTTGATTACCTAAAAGTTTAAATACCGTGAAACTGAGTTAGTTGATATAGGGAAGGAGAAAGTTGGAAGATTGAAAAAATGCTTTTTCTCTGATTTTTCGACAACATCGTTCAGTTGAGAATTTGAGGCTGATAAGAAGTATTATGTTAGGTGTGGTTTTCTGGAACGAATGAAAACTTTTTCTCCTCTATCGCATCTCATGCCCGCAGGGTGAATCGTTAAAGTAGTATATTATTTTACCTGCAACAATAGTCCCATTAGTTCCACTGGTTGAATTGGAGAAAAATTTTAAAACTACTTTATTCATAGAGTCCGCAACATAAAATGTGCCAGTATTCTCAGCATATACACCCTTCGGAAAATTAAAGTGATTTGGTGCGAGACCAGATACACCATCTACACCGGCAACACATGTAGCATTGCCTGTTGCATTAGTGGATTTGCGTACACAGTAAGAAGCATGATCAGCAAAATACACCGTTTCATTACTAATAATATGAATACCTTCATAATAGTCACCACCACTATAAACGGTCGTTCCGGTTGTTGAACCAGGTGTAAAGTATATAATTTCACTACTTCCAGAATCAGAAACGAAAAAGTTTCCACTAACATCTATAGTTATGTAGAGAGGTTGGCTGAGCCCAGTACCAACAGTTACACCACAGCAACCAGGACAACCGGTTGTTGTTGACGTAATTGGTGCTGTGGTTGTCGTTGTCGTTCCTTGAACTGTTGACGTAATTGGTGCTGTGGTTGTCGTTGTCGTTCCTTGAACTGTTGACGTAATTGGTGCTGTGGTTGTCGTTGTCTTTCCTTT